AGTTTTATGTTTTGAATCAGAACTAAAGTATCTGTTTTTTCTTAATGCAAACAGTTTTGAAATTGTGCATTCATGCACATCTGCAAATCTGTTTTAGTTTTTGCTGTGTTCATTTTTATATCTTCCATATGCCATTGTGCAGAGCGGATTCTTTTTACTTCCTCTCCCTCCCTCGCTCGCTCCTTGTGAGAGAAGACAGGACAGTTCTGTTGTCCTGTGAAGTAATGTGCTCTTGCCCCTTCTGCCCTAAATGTCAGAGCATGACATGCTTAGAGTGTGGTGTAGACAGCCTATGACCTGTGAGCTGGGCAGCCGGCAGAGATCACTCAAGTCTTCAGACAGTATCCCAGGACCTGCTGCTATGCCTGCACATCAATCCCATTAATGAAGTCCCAAGATACATCATTTTGTGGGTGTGCAATGTTGTTGGAGGGAGACATGAGGAGAGGTTACATATGCTGATGAAGTTCTCCTTAACCACTTCCAGTCTGGACACTTTCACCCCCCCTCCAGTCCGGACACTTTCACCCCCTTCCAGTCCGGACACTTTCACCCCCTTCCAGTTCTCCGGACACTTTCCCCCCCTTCCAGTCCGGACACTTTCCCCCCCGTCCTCCGGACACTTTCACCCCCTTCCAGTCCAGACACTTTTTCCCCTCTTCCAGTCCGGACACTTTTACCCCCTTCCAGTCCAGACACTTCCCCCCCCCCCCCCCCCCCTGTCCAGTCCAGACACTTTCCCCCCCTTCCAGTCCGGACACTTCCCCCCCCCCCTCCAGTCCGGACACTTTCCCCCCCTTCCAGTCCGGACACTTTCACCCCCTTCCTGTCCAGGGCAATTTTCAGCTTCCAGCGCTATCACACTTTGAATGACAATTGCGTGGTCATGCAACACTGTACCCATATGAATTTTTAACCATTTTTTTGAGACAGATAAAGCTTTATTTTGGTGGTATTTATTCACCGCTGGGATTTTTATTTTTTTTTGCTATATAAATGAAAAAGTCCAAAAAGTTTGAAAAAAGTGTTTTTTCTTATAAAATTTTGCAAATAAATAATATTTCCTCATAAATCTTGGCCAAAATTTATTTCCGTTATCTTTTTAGTGAAAAAAAAAAAAAAATACGCCAAATTAGTTTATAACCAAAAATTATAATTTTTAAAACATTTTTATTTTATTTTTTTTATATTATATTTATATATTTATTATTTATGTTTTTTTTTTTTTTTACCATGGTGACACTGTACTACTTGTGGGGGGTGATGAAGATTTTTTTTATTTTTTTTTTTACAGTGATAGCTTTTACACCCATATAGGATGTAAAAGCAATCATTTCTCTTTCTCTCTGTCTGCATTCTTGCAGTCATTGAGAAATACTGAGTGAGCTGTGATTGGTCACAGCTTGTCACATGGTACAAGGCTGTTGTGAATAGCCCTGTACCATGTGACCTCTGTGATCATTCACAGATTTCACACGTAGTAAGCAATGATGTCACAAGTGACATCTTGCTTACTACTTTGCATGTGATCACTGATTGGCCAATCAGTGATCACATGATCGGGACCTTGCACAGATACAGGTCCCGTCCAACATTGGTGTTTCACTGCGTCCGGAGGAAACAGTGGGCACCGGATCGCGTGTGCTGCGCGCTCACAGGGAGAACGCACAACTAGAAATAGTGGGTTCCGTTTATGAATGACAACCCGCCCCTGGAGTGCCACTGCCCTGCCGTATAAACAGCAGGCGGACGGCAAGAGGTTAAAGTGTTACTAAACCCAGGATCAGGGGTGCATTGACCATTTGAAAACTTGGGCACTGCCCGAGGGCCCGGGGTCAGTAGGAGGCCCCATGAAATGCCCCTGGTACCTTTTTCATAGGCTTTTTTGAGTTTGGGCAAGGACACAGGGGCCCCATGATCCCCTATTGCCCGGGGGCCCCATGAGTTGTCAGTCCGCCCCTGCATGTATAGCTCAATATCCCATAGCAAATGTCAAAATTCACTCTAAACTTTCACAAAGCTCCAACAAGTAACATAAATCCTGACTGGTTGCTGCAGGTGCTGCACTTGGCATTCAGCAGATCGGTCATTTATTATAAAAAAAAGTCTGCTTCTAGGGAACAATAAACATAATAATTACAGCAAATAACATGCAGATGCGGAGTAGATACTATCTTGGTACTTTGCTTTATAAATTGCCACAATACACACATTTTACGTTTAATTGTTGCTTTTAATCACTGACATAGCAGGCTTTTTTTTTTTTTTAGAGACGTTTATAGTTAAATATGGAAATGATGCGTATCCATCAAGCTCAGAATCCCACAAACACTAGTAGTTTTGGTGCAGAGGAATGCAAGGCAGAATCCCCAGGGGCTATTATATATTATATATATTATATATATTTATATTATAACTTTGTTCTCATTGGGAAAATGTTTATGCTAAGCATTATGTTCTCTGCATCATATATTTCCATTCTATCCTTTAGGCTTCATTCATATGGGCATATTTTTCTACACGGAACGCAGGTTCTTGCTGGCAAATGCTTTACAGCTCGGTTCACTCTAGCCCAGCAATGGGCAAACTACGGCCCGGCGGACCTTTTAATCCGGCCCGCGGAGCGTGATACATTGGCTGTCAGGATGTGTGTAGGCGGGGGCAGCGTGACGAACGTGAGGGGAGCTAGGCTCCTCTCACAGTCCGCCCTGAAGACCGGAATGGCGCGGGAACACGGCGAGGAGCAAAGGTAAGCGAATTGGCACAGGGGGGACTTGGCTTACTACTATGGGGGATTAATTAATATGGGGAATGAATTACTATGGGGGATGAATTACTATATGGGGGATGAATTACTATGGGGGATGAATTACTATATGGGGGATGAATTATTATAGGGGGATGAATTACTATATGGGGGATGAATTACTATATGGGGGATGAATTACTATATGGGGGATGAATTACTATGGGGGATGAATTACTATATGGGGGATGAATTACTATGGGGGATGAATTACTATATGGGGGATGAATTACTATAGGGGGGGATGAATTACTATATGGGGGATGAATTACTATAGGGGAGAATGAATTACTATATGGGGGGATGAATTACTATAGGGGGGATGAATTACTATATGGGGGATGAATTACTATATGGGGGATGAATTACTATGGTGGGGATGAATTACTATATGGGGGATGAATTACTATAGGGGGGGATGAATTACTATATGGGGGATGAATTACTATAGGGGGATGAATTACTATGGGGGATAAATAAATTACTATATGGGGGATGAATTACTATATGGGGAATGAATTACTATATGGGGGATGAATTACTATGGGGGATGAATTACTATAGGGGGGATGAATTACTATATGGGGGATGAATTACTATGGGAATGAATTACTATAGGGGGATAAATTACTATATGGGGGATGAATTACTATATGGGGAATGAATTACTATATGGGGGATGAATTACTATATGGGGGATGAATTACTATGGGGGAAGAATTACTATATGGGGGATGAATTACTATAGGGGGGATGAATTACTATAGGGGGGATATGAAATTACTATGGGGAATGAATTACTATAGGGGATGAATTACTATAGGGGATGAATTACTATAGGGGATGAATTACTATATGGGGGATGAATTACTATAGGGGGGGTGAATTACTATAGGGGGGATGAATTACTATACGGGGGATGAATTACTATAGGGGATGAATTACTATAGGGGATGAATTACTATATGGGGGATGAATTACTATAGGGGGGATGAATTACTATAGGGGGGGATGAATTACTATAGGGGGGGATGAATTACTATATGGGGGATGAATTACTATATGGGGGATAAATTACTATATGGGGGATGAATTACTATAGGGGATGAATTACTATGGGGGATGAATTACTATATGGGGGATGAATTACTGTATTTGCCGGCGTATAAGACGACCCCCTACTTTTCCTGTTAAAATATAGGGTTTGAGCTATACTCGCCGTATAAGACTACCCCTCTTCCAACGCACACCAAATAAAAATGAAAAAACATCAGATTTGATTTCAATATGGTATGGTATTTCAATGATGGGGTGCTATTCCTCCGACTGACACCAATGATGGGGCATGATTCCTCCCACTGATACCAATGATGAGGCACTACTCCTCCCACTGACACTAATGGTGCCCCATCAGTAGTGTCAGTGTGTGAGGAATAGTGCCCCATCATTGGTGTCAGTGGATGAAATAGTGCCCCATCATTAGTGTCAGTGGGAGGAATCATGCCCCATCATTGGTGTCAGTGGGAGGAATAGCACCCCATCATTGGTATCAGTGGGAGGAATAGTGCCCCATCATTAGTCAGTGGGAGGAATAGTGCCCCATCGTTGGTGTCAGTGGGGAGGAGGAATAGTGCCCCATCGTTGGTGTCAGTGGGGAGGAGGAATAGTGCCCCATAGTTGGTGTCAGTGGGGGAGGAATAGTGCCCCATCATTGGTGTCAGTGGGGAGAATAGTGCCCCATCATTGGTATCAGTGGGGAGAAAAGTGCCCTATCATTGGTGTCAGTGGGGGAGGAATGGTGCCCCATCATTGGTGTCAGTGGGGGAGGAATAGTGCCCCATCATTGGTGTCAGTGGGGGAGGAATAGTGCCCCATCATTGGTGTCAGTGGGGGAGGAATAGTGCCCCATCATTGGTGTCAGTGGGGGAGGAATAGTGCCCCATCATTGGTGTCAGTGGGTAGAATAGTGCCCCATCATTGGTGCCAGTGGGGGGAGAATAGTGTCCCATCGGTGTCAGTGGGGGAGGAATAGTGTCCCATCGTTGGTGTCAGTGGGGGAGGAATAGTGCCCCATCATTGGTGTCAAGGGGAGGAAAAGTGCCCCATCATTGGTATCAGTGGGAGGAATAGTGCCCCATCATTGGTATCACTGGGAGGAATAGTGCCCCATCATTGGTGTCAGTGGGAGGAATAGTGCCCCATCATTGGTGACAGTGGGAGGAATAGTGCCCCATCATTGGTGTCAGTGGGGAGAATAGTGCCCCATCATTGGTGTCAGTGGAGGAGGAACAGTGCCCCATCGTTGGTGTCAGTGGGGAGGACGAATAGTGCCCCATCGTTAGTGTCAGTGGGGGAGAGAAGCGGCTGCTCCTTCTTTCAGTTCGGCAGCTTGATTTTTGCGGGGCCGTTCGGCTCCGCCTCCTCGCCGGTGATTGGTCGCCTGTGTGCGCTGGCGCCCAATCACCGGTGAGGAGGCGGAGCCGAGCGGCCGCGCGACCATCGAGCGGCCGAACTGAAAGAAGGAGCAGCCGCGCTTCCTGGACCGGATCATCGTGGGACCGGGACCGGAGCCAGGTAAGGTACAGCAGCCCCTCTGCCCACCCCTGTACTTAGGACACCGCCCCTGGAAAAAGTGCCGCCCTGACACCGGCTCGCCGTATACCGGCGTATAAGACGACCCCCGACTTTTCAGAAGATTTTCAGGGGTTGAAAAGTCGTCTTATACGCCGCAAATACGGTACTATATATGGGGGATGAATTACTATATGGGGGATTAATTACTATGCTTACTATGGGGATGAATTACTATATGGGGGATTAATTACTATGCTTACTATGGGGGAATATTACTATACTTACTATGGATGACACATACACATCATTCATCTACTCTTGGTCCGGCCCCCGGGTCCAATATATGAACCCATTGCGGCCCTCAAGTCAAAAAGTTTGCCCACCCCTGCTCTAGCCTGAAGGTGACATTGTGGTTGCAGGTGCAGAAATCGCACTTGTTCCTGCAACCACAACTACCCGCAGCCGAATTGCGCCATTCTTGCGAGACGTGTGGTGCTGCCACTCCTTCTGAATGGCACTCCCAATGGCACGAATATAAGCCCGCAACATGATTGTGGGTATGGGGACCACAGGGAAATTGTAAAAATGGGTTCTTGCAACTGTACATAGAGGTATACCATTCTTCTATTGACTTTTATGCATATGTGCCTATACACGATTACACGGGTTTAAACATTTATGTGCTTACATATGTAAAATCTGCATCTATGTACAGCTCCTGATAAATCTGTGTCATACTTTTTTTTTTTTGTATGCCACTAAGCATAGTGCACATCTTCGTTTGTAAAAACAGCTATGCATATCCCCCATTGATTCATATACATTAAATTGTTTCTATTACATTCCATCCATTAAGTCAATAATAAAAACATCAAATATTGATCCTTGCGGTATACCTAGGCTAAGGTCTTCTGAACATGTTCTTGCTCACAGAGACTTGTGAATTAAGTGGATTGGATTAAGTGGAGTTAAAACCCAGGCGTTGCTCTTCTGTTTGACATGCCTTGGCTCCTGAGCAATAGTTTTAGGAAGACGTGCTTCCTCTTTCTGTTTTTTTTTTTTTTTGTACCATCATGTTTTTTTAAACACATTTTTCCTCCTTCGTGTAATTTTACAAACATCACTTTTTTCTGCTTTGCAGCTCATTCATTTATTTAATTAATTATTTAAAGTAGTTTTTGGGAGAGGCAGGGCAGCAAATTTTTATAAATGGCATTCATTGTTTTTTTTTCCAGCTTCTTAAAAAAATGGAAACATGTTTTAAAATTGCCAGCAATCGCCGTGTCATTATTAAAAAAAAAAACAACACATAGGAACACAGATTTCATTTTCATGTACTATTATTTTTTTAACAATCTATTTCCACTAAAATAAACTTAAATTGTTAAAAAAAAAAACAGCACACAGGCCCCTTCAAAGGCTCCCCAAAATACATAGCAGACCACCCTTTGGAGGTATACATGTCCTGTTTTTTTTTTTTTAAAACTTAGAAAGTGTTAATGATATGGCAATTGTAAAACATTTTTACTTTATAAATGTCAGTGCTGCTGCACTTTCTGGATATTAGAGAGATGCGCCTCTTCACAGGCAGAATTTGGAGACCCTCCAGGCTTGTTATTTAAGCACCTTGTATTTACTTATTGGTTTATTTGGGATTTAGTAACATTTATTAGGAGGGATATAATTGCCAGCCCACAGGGCATTGTAGCACATGCACATTTGTGGGGACCCTTTGTGCATTGATTGCAGTGATTTTATAAATGATTAAAGTGAAACTTTAAAAATGTAAATTTTCTTTAACCAATTCAATACCGGGCATTTTACCCCCTTCCTGCCCAGGCCATTTTTCAGGTTTCAGCGCTCTCACACTTTGAATGACAATTGCGCGGTCATACAACATTTTACCCAAACTAAACTTTAATAATTTTCTTCACACAACTAGAGCTTTCTTTTGGTGGTATTTAATCACTGCAGGGGTCTTTATTTTTTGCTGAATTAACAAAAAAAGACCGAAAATTAAAAAAATAAATACTTTTTTCTTTGTTTCTGTTCTAAAAGTTTGCAAATAAATAATTGTTCTTCATAAATTTAGGCCGAGATGTATTCTGCTACATGTCTTTGGTGAAAATAACCCAAATTAGGATGTATTATTTAGTTTGTAGGAAAGTTATAGAGTTCACAAACTATGGGATAGATCTGAAAATTGATCAATCCTGAAGTACTGACAGCCAATCTAATTTCTTGAGGTCCAAGAATGTCAGAATAGTACAGATATCCCCCAAATGTCAAATACAGTCCAGAAAAGTAAATGTCAGGACAGTACAGATATCCCCCAAATGTCAGGACAGTACAGATATCCCCCAAATGTCAGAACAGTACAGATATCCCCCAAATGTCAGAAAAGTACAGATATCCCCCAAATGTCAGAAAAGTACAGATATTCCCCAAATGACCCCTTTTTGCAAAGTAGACAGTCCGACGTACTTCATAAGAGGCATGGCGAGTTTTTGTCATAATTTTTCGGAAAATGAAAAAATAAAAATAATTATTTTCACAATTTTTTTTACATACTGTCACCAGTGCAGTACAGCGTCATCATATAACTGGCATGGCGGTGATCAGGGACACTGACTGGTGACAGTATGAAAAAAATATATATATGTATTTTTTTTATTTTTTTATTATTTTAAATTTCTTATTACATTTTTTCTTTTTTTTAAGATTTTTTTTTCATATTTCACTATGTTCAAAGTAGTACAATGTTACCATAGTAACATAGTACTACTTTGGGGAAGTGATCAGTATTTTTTTTTTTTTTTTTTTATAAGCAAGCATTTACCTGAATGACATCCATTCATTCAGGGTTTTTTTTTTTTTGCTTAGCTGTGATTTGGCCACAGCTAATCACATGACATGTGCATGTGATCGCTGTGACCATTCACAGCTAGACACTAGTATACAATGGATGGCATGAATGAAGCCATCTATTGTATACAACTGTCATGTGACCTGCTGTGATTGGTCACAGCAGGTCACATGGTACCGGCAACGGGGGCCGGTACTCAGATCTGTCATCGGCCATGTCCGAGGTACACGGCCGGTGACAGATCGCGCCGCTGTGCAGCTCTGCAAGCGCACGAACTGCGCATGTGCGGGAGTACGCCATATGGCGGCCTCCTGGAAAGCTAGTGCATTTTTTTTCCGGACGCCATACGGCTATTGGCCGGGCGTCAAATGGTTAAGCGACAATAGTGCTAACAATAGCACATATACAGTACAATGCCATGAAACTGTGCTTACAGTGAAATTGTATAAAACAATATATATAAAAAAATTCCCAATAATTGTGCAAATGAATAAAAGTTCAAAAATATTTTGAAAGTTCCAAAAAAAAAAGCCCAAAGAAACCCCTATCCTCATCCGGTGTGAATATTAAGGGATACAGTAGTAAATCTTCTTATCCATAGCAATTCTCTGTAGTATGGAGTTCATTCATTTATTTAATTCATTATTTTGAGTAGTTTTTGGGAGAGGCAGTGCAGCAATTTTTATGTTTGCACCCACACATTTGTTCTCCGGTACACATTTGTGATTTTGCTGGCAGCAGCCAGTCTAATTGATCAGTCCTCTGCGCAGGTTATCCCCACACAATGAATACCATTTGCCAGCAACTTAAACTGCACCATTTTTTTTTTCTTTGTAAATATTTCATTGTCCCCCCCCCCCCCAATATATAGCAGATCTGGTAAGGAATTTAAGGGGGGTTCCACACAAAAATGAAACAAGAAAACAGAAAGTCCCCTAAAAATCCATATCTCCCTCCCCCAGGGGCGGACTGACAACTCATGGGGCCCCCAGCCAATAGGGGATCATGAGGCCCCTGTGTCCTTGCCCAAACTCAAAAAAGCCTATGAAAAAGGTACCAGGGGCATCTCATGGAGCCCCCTACTGACCCCGGGCCCTTGGGCAGTGCCCGAGTTTCCAAATGGTCAGTCCGCCTCTGCCCTCCCCCCTACACTCCTCAATCATACCAGGCCACATTTCCTCAGCATGGGGGTAGATATAAGTGCTAAGCTTATTTTATTTTTCACACATTTATGGAAGCTTTCTGGGTTGTTCTCTTGATCCGTCTTGAATTTACTGCATAACTGCATCTCTTCTTGTGTTATATTAGTATTAACAAATTGAGAGTATTGTCTACTTCTATCCACCACTTCATATGGCAACTTCTTCATATTATAAATATGCATTAAAAGTATAGTTATTGCCAAAATAGCTTTAGCTAGTCTCTTTTACGTCTTTATTACTCTTTTAATGTTAAAAATACTTGTTTTTTTCACACCAACCCCAACGACATAGTTTTGGAGCTTGCTGCTAACTCCCGCTATACTCCCCACATTCCTATTGGTCCATCATAATAATTGACCAATAGGAATGGTCAGGAAACGGGAAGGATGGAACAAAGCATCAACATAATTAGGAAATGCTCAAACCGTACCTTTTAGCATGGCCCAACATACGGCTGTAAGCGCAGTAGCTTTGTGATACTTGTAGTGTTTTTGAAAATACTCGATATAGTCTATATATAGACTTTATAGATATAGTCTCGAAGGTGTCAACTGTCAGGTCAAAGGCTTCTTATCTGCTTTATTGTATGGAAGTTCCTGTTTGTCTTTATCATAGGTCATTAGCAATGTACAGGTGAAACTGGAAAAATGAGAATATGGTGCAAAAGTTCATTTATTTCAGTGCAGCAACTTAAAAGGTGAAACTAATATATGAGATAGACTCATTACATGCAAAGCA